ACGGGTACTTCCATTGAAGAATGTGTCCAGCACCAGAAGCTGCGTTGGTTGGGACATGTGTTACGTATGCCGAACCATCGTTTGCCGAAGAGAGTGCTGTTTTCCATGCCCAACTCAGAGTGGCGTAAACAGAGAGGTGGCCAACCTTTGACTTGGCGGAGGAGTATGAAGGAGATCACGAAACGCTTGGGTGCTGTCGGCGCTACTCGCCTTCCAGGATGGGGACCGCGTGATCCTCATTGTGCCTGGTTGGAGACACTACAAGATATGGCTGCCAATGGATGTCAGTGGCGTTCTTGTTGTCAGTTTCTATCCAGATTGCCTGAGTGAATGTCTGGAGGTGTAGGCACCTCGGAATGGTTGTGTTAAGCTAGCACTAAGTCCCTTCCCCGCCCACCTTTATTGTTTTCTTTACAATAAGGCTTTCAAATAAGTCATGGTTGTACGGCGTTGAAGCATCAGTGTGAACACTGATGTCATGCTGTCGATGATGATGCTGATGATGCTGATGGTGATTTGTATCCGGAATGAAATATTGGTGTAAACAGGATCTAGAGTTTTCGATCCGATTTCGCTCCTGTTCTTCATGTTCAAGACACGGGAGGCTGTTCCAAGTTCACGAAGCCCTAACTCATAAGCGTTTGAGACATCCTCCAGCTTCGTTAACTTGTCCAACCCTTATTTTTCGAGGAGAGGCCGAAATGTTCAGGAACCGAGCTTCCTATTGTCCAAAATTTGCCTGCAAAATAATGAAGTAAACTACTGAATTTTTTCTCCATATCATTCATGGCGCACAACATTCGTCGCAAAGATAATCCCACCGTTGATTTTGTGAAAGCGATTACATAGTGCACAACAAAACAGATAACCTTCAATATGTCGCGGTCATTACCACGTGCGATCGATCACTTTGCAGAACACCTGTAAACCAGGAGTATCAATGCACAATCGAATTCCCAATACAATTCCGCATTCGATGGGAAACTAACTGTAGTTGTTTGCCTTCAAACCAACGGATAAGCATTAATCTACCCATATTTAAGGGGTTATTGTTCTTATAAATATGTTACTTCTCTTACTCTTCATTTTTTGGATACCGAGACTAAGTTGACTGGTTAGCCGAAATAATAAAGCAACCGAGGAGGCTCATGAACAGTCTGTTAAGATTAGTCAGATTTGGTCGAGCAAGCTTTTATCAGTTTCACAACTCAGAATGCAAATTGAAACGAAATACGGCGTTTGAATGAGGGTTCGAAAGTGTGTCAAATCGAAAAGTCAAAACAGTTGCCTGCTGTCTTATCAAATTCTGGAAGTAAGACAGCTTTCGATAGCTTTTTCATGGAGGAATATGAAAATACATACTGTATATCACTTGGTCAGAAAAAAACTCAAAATCAAGTTCAGATATTAACTGGATATACTGTTTTGTCAAGGTGTCCGAGACGGGTCCGATTTGCGTATTGTTTAAAGTTACAATCCTAATTGAGCTGCCCACCGTCGGTTGTGCCAATTCTTCTGCTCCACGATGTTCTTAACATTATCCAATTAACTTTGAGTGAAGTTGTTGAGTAAGTTTTTTGGGGCGACCAATCATTTCTGTCTTTCTAATGTTAACCTACATCTCGTTCTTGGTTATTATTTTATGCATGTGTGGTATTCATTATGTGAGAAAGGGGAATCAGAGAAGCCCTTCTTCCTCGTAGGTTTCGCTTAGACAGGTTTTTTTAGCTGGGATGGACTACTGACAAAGGACTTCCTTGTTCGTTTTTAACATGATTCAGTCGTTTTCTTTCAGTGTCATGGTATCTTTGAACCTTCCTGCTGCCATCCAACTGACCGCCAACGAACAAGTTCAGAGTGGATTGTTCGAGAACGTGGAAAAGATAAGAAACCAGGGTGGCGTGGACCAGCTGCGTCAGCATGTGTACTCCTTACCAGAATCCGCCGAACGCAACCGTGAAATTCTGAACCAAGTAGGTGTTTTCAAAACTTCTATTGCTCTCATGTGCTAATTGTCTCGCTGGTAGGTCCTCGGGAACGCTATCGTTGACTGTAAGAGGGTGAGGAGGATATACAGCGAAGCAAGTGCCGTATGCAGCTCCCCAAACCAACCATTCGCCTTACTGATGGGTTTTTAAAACGACTTGAGACCAACCATAGTAATGAGGATTAATCTTGACAGCTATCGTCTGTTGTCTGATGGGATTCTTTACGGCATGCCGAAGCAAAAGGACCGTCTAACTCCTCGACATTCTCCGGGGTTACTAATAATCTCCGTGTCTTTCCCCTACCTATCTTTTACTAGTATATCCTCCGGTATGTTTCACTTCTAATACAACACACAATTGGATAATTGGTGAAACCAATTCTCTGCTGTTCTCACCGTTTGCAGCGAAGCCAGCGAGCCGGATTAACGTCTTGGATCATGTGACCCAGTTTGTGTCCTAAGTTAGGTTCGCCTCAAACTGGCCTGTTTCCGCAACGGAATACTGAAACTCAAAATGGGCCGTAAATTTGAATGCCCTATGGTCAGCAGCAAGCCATCACGGATTGTCACCAGCAGCTGGTTGTTCTGGCAATACGATTGAAAATTGGAGCACAGTTTTCGAAAACCCGGTGGGGCATAGAATTTGTCTGCCAGCGTTTTGCGCCTCAACAAAACCCGGATATTTCTATGCATTTGACCAAAACGGACATTCGACGTTCCGACCCAAAGCGACCCACTTCAGTTTCTCCACGTTTGTGTGCGTGTGATCACACGCCTGAAGTGTTTGACCGTGAGCAGGGCTCCGCCATTGAGATTAACTTGCGTGTCGGGGTACCTGGAATGGGGTAAGGCCTTTAGAATATCTCGAAGCTTTGTGCGCTTCCAGGCAGGCATCTCTAGGCGATCGTATCGAGTGCGATTCACCGTCTGTTCCCACAGCAATGGAAGAGGAGCAGTCACCTCCAATGGCTACAGTCGTTTATGTTGAATCATGCCAATGGGCTATCAATCAACGCTTCAGTATTGTGCTGCTCCACCGTGGCTGTGGACAGAATGCAGAGGTAGTTATATGGGTACGTAGGTTAAACACTTGCGCGGTGACTATCCCGCGGACAATGAAGCATTTGATCTACGCACTCACTTCAATCGAAGCAGTGCCCGAATACATGACGCACAGTTTATTGCCCTGGTTTCGATTGTTTCTTCCCCTCTACCGTGGTCTATTCAATCATATTTTTAGGCGGTTCAAAATCCGGTTTTGTAACGTACAAACATTCCACTGAAAGATATGAAACTTTCTTGATCATCCTTGTGTAGTCTTAAACGGTGTGTTGTTCAGCTGGGCCGATATTGACTCTTCTTTATCTCCTTATTTCCCCTTGGTTATCATGTTCCGGTCCTTTGCATACCGACTTTTATGCGTTCCGAGTGAGCTCAGATTCTGCAATTGGCTTACTTTTGTTGTGTCAGTTTACGGTGAGACTTCTACTTCTTTAAGACTGCAGTGGATTGGCCACGTTGCTTTAATGACGCTAGCGTCACGATGAACGTACAGTTCCTTAAGATGTAGAATATTTGTGGACGTAATACGCGTATAAACAGCCGACGCTTCCACCGCATCAACCAAGTAAAACATTTTCGACTTATTCGAGCACCGTACGTTTTTCAAAGCGCCCCGCAAGCCAGTGGTCGAAATCCAGAAACGTTAGTTAACCACCCGTTCAACTGTAACGTCACTTCGGTGCCTAGCTTTCATACCATTCGAATGAAGCATGATGGCTGAGATATTGCCAGGTTGCCCAAGCCTAGAAGGGGGTAGTCTAAATGCTGAGGTTTGGTTCGAACCACGGACCCTCTGTTCAGTAAGTTCGCTAATGTATTTGGTCAATCAGTCACCTGAATATTCACGTTATCGTGTCCCAGTCTGTCGCACATCAGTAGCAGATAAAGACTCAGACATTTTGTACAAGGTTGCACCATTCTAAATGATCCTGTAACCTGCAGCACAAGTCACGAATAAACCAACCCTTCAACTGGGTCACGTGGACCTGGCCCTTTTGCAAATCAATACCTGACCTGAGCCGTGTAATCACTAATGCTTTGAGAATTCTCGATCCAGGATATCGTCATTCTTTGCGACGACTTTAACGAATGAGGAGATTTTAGCCTGGTAACCACAGCTGATTAATGGAAGAAGCGGGGTTCCAGAAAAATTTCGAATGACTGATTTCGGATTGATTCATTGTATTCAGAACGTGCTTAGACACGTGTGCTTTTGCCCACCTTCCCTTTTCGTTCCATTTAAACGCTGTCGCAGTTGCGGGCGAGAAATTAAATTCATTGTGCCGTAGATGGAGGTGTTTTGATAGACGGACGTGATATCTCGTTTTCTGTGGCGTCTATTACTGTGCGGTATTGTGTTACGGGGTCAGCCCTATTATTTTATGAAAGATCTGATGATTTCAAACAAGGTCCAAACAACTCGCCTTGCATTTCAGCATACATTTAACCAGATTTGCACGATTAGATCCAAAACGGAATATCGGGGGACGTGTAAGGTATACTATCACCTAAGAGAGTCCACACCAGCGTTCTCCGTCAGCTACGATTTGCTGTCAAACCCTTTGTTCCGGGAATAGGATACCCAAAATAACGGAACATCACATGGAACATTTTGCAAGCCCAGAACAGACCGAGAGAATACTCACGGTGATTGCTCGGGATCCGAATTCCGGCTGGATGCTTCTTGCTCCGCTACGAATGTGCTAAGGGGTTTTCAAATTTCCTCTATAAATGCGATTATCTTGATGTTACTTTGTCACCTCATACGTTATCCCAAGCTACCATCGCTTTGATATACTATCCCAAGCTACCATCGCTTTTGATATACCTTAGCGAATAGATCAACAAGTAAAGGACCATCATAGGAGTTTTGCGTACAAAACACCCTCCCGCCTCCAGACGAGGCCAGAAACTTCCTTTAACTTTGATGGTCTTTCTTAGGCACTGACTGGATTTTGTGCACAGAGGAACAACCCACCCGATTTCGTTGCCTTACAGCGCCTTTCGTTTCATCCGGCCTCCTGTTTGGTTCTTCTTTACACACAATATTGTTTACTCATTTCCTTCCAGCAACAAACCACTCTGGATGATGAAGAGAAGACGGACAATAATTTGAAACAACAGTTTGGAGATCGATGGACCCGTCAACCCTCTTCCAAACTAAATGCACAGTGGCGTCAAGATATCGCAAAAATGATCGCTTTCCTAGGACAGGTGAATTCTGTGAACGAGTTATTTATATAGCTAAAAAACTCCTGTGATGTAATTCTTTAGCTTAGTTCTGTTCAAAGGTATCAGCTTGCTTCTCTTTGCAGTTTTCCCATCCATTCATCTTTCTCATCAACTAGACCATTGTTTCTTAGATCGGTGACTTTTTGTGTCCCAGAACGTGTGCACCAAACTATCCGGTAGTCAGTAAAACACTGGTGGTATCCATGGTGCACGAACTATTCATCGTCCATGCGCCACAATATTTTCGTTAAACATTCGTAGGTCTGCCTTGTTGTTCGTCCTTTTTGCCTTCAAAGGAGACTGCCGCCCTAGAACCGATATCATTTTTCGCTTGCGTGCATTTTCTATACCGTAGCCCTAAACATTTTTCTCATTATATCAGTCTCTGAAGGCTTCCCGAGCTTCACATGAATCAACTAAGTTATCCAGACATTGTGGCAATGAAATGGTTGAGTAGTACACGATGAACCTGTAGTAAACATAATGTTTCACAGGCACTATGTGACAATACATGTCCTTATGCGCGCCTTGATGTTTGTTATAGACTGGTCTGTTTGTCACCCAACATGAACCATCAAATGACGTTGATCATCACACCTGCATTTCAGGCACGTTCTATATGCTACATTCCTGTCTCCAGTCAAACGAGCTATCTGGTCAGAATGTTTCGCCAGATTACTGTGACAACAGATATGCTATGCTATTTGCCTGTTATTGTTTGTAGAATTTCATGGTTATGTGTTGATATCAATTGCTCTGACCAGACTGTACCAAAAGAGAAGTGTTTTAGAGATTTACCCCAAAACGGGTTGACTGACCGAACTTTACCGCTGACGGTACGCATTACAGATAAGATCTGATCAGATAACTCCTATCGTGTGCTTTATGTTTTACATGGACCCGTTTCGTTAAGAACAGTGTTCGAAAGAACCCAACTCATCCGCTGCTTAATGCACCTCGTGGCAGACTCATAGAATATCAACATTCAGATTGGTCATAGATCAGAATACTCCAGAACTTTTTGGGCGTTTAAACACCCATTCTGAAATTCACCCCCAAGTTCGTGCTTAAAGAACTTGAAGCACCGGAATTGTGTGCCGTTTCGGGACTCTGTGGACCGACTAGTCTTCGCTCTGAGCAACATTCTGTCCACCCTGTCGCTGATCTTTTTTGAACAACCATTTTAAGTTTCTACCCAGATTGTCTAAATCAATGTCTGAAGGTCTAGACTGCTGTAGGCTAGCACAAGGCGCTTCGCGGTTTCGTCGTCCCTTTCCACACAGGTTTTTATCCAACTGCAGTGACATTGTTGTGCAGCCGTCAAGTGCCAGTTTTGTCACACTGCTTTTGCCCTCAATGATGCCTCGTTATTTTTGCTCGCGGCTTCCACGTTTATCGATTCAACCACAACGTTTTGACTTTCCAGACTTCCACATCCCAGTGCACCGCCAAGGTTGGCTGTTTGGACCCCCTATCACTTACACACAACTCTTGTAATGTATTCTCTATCTGTGTAAATTTTTATTTATTCAGTGTTCGTGAAGTAATGGACAGGTGGTTTGGCCTCGTTAAGGTTTCCTAGCACTGCCGACTCCACTTGCATACGTTATATAGGCAGTCCAGGTCAATTGCCGGAAGTATATCTAAGGCGGAAATTTCAAGCTACACTCTTCTCACTTTTAAACCAGAATATGGTATCAAGAATATCTAGTTTGTGGTGCTTTCCACCGTTGTTGCCATCGTTCATTCTGCCGTTACTTGCGTATTACAGGCGGCTGAAACGGACAAGATGTTGGCCAAACGCTTCGAACAAGATTTACCGATGTTTGAACTACTTAGTAAATCGAACGATGAGATTCTGGCTGCGATTCGTGGAGAAAGCGCGGTTTCTGCCAGTTCACCTACTGGGAATGAAGCTGCTCGAGAAGCTTTAGCGAGAACATGCAGCCAAATCGAATCGCTCAAAGCCGATCGAAACAGCCTAACCGACCAGATGAATGCCATGAAACTCTCGGAGGACTTCTGTAAGTGCTTCCAACTCCCTCCCAGTTGCTTACCCGCTACTGTGTTTGATGCATTCTTCATTTCGGATTACCTCCTGTGTTTGTGGTTCTTTATGGGCAACTTTGATCCTCTTAGATGGGTTGCTGTTTGACATTTCAATTCACTACCCCCCCCCCTAGCAATAGGATATTTCCATGTGTGTGATAGGCTGATAACGTGGTGAACTTGTAGTAAGCGACAGTATGGGTAGGTCGGTTTTGCATTCGCTTCACTCTCGTTTGAACAGCTCTTCTGTTTTGGTGCAATCATTCTAATGGACCCACACCAAAGAGAGGGAGTACCGAAATTAAGCTTCGCTCTTGACCAAGGATATTTACCTCTGGTGGTCTCTAATAAGAATGAAACTCGAGTCCACTGCCTGTTCTCCTTGCTGTGAACTTGCCATAAATTTACGCTAGGAATGAATGAAGACTGTTTAAACGAGACTGATGCGACTGCGATTTCTAAATTTCTCGCAACCACCTAAAAGTGATCAAAGTTGTTCAGCATGTTTCAAGTGTCTGAGATGCTGTCTGACTTAGTAGTCCTGACAGGCGGGCCTGTCTAAACTGACCTTAAGCTACTGCCTAACAGTCGGTTCATGCTAAACATCATGTTATGATACTTTCGAACTTGTAGAAGCCAACAATAATCATGGTCGTTGTCAGCACTACATATCCGACTCTCGGTTAACAGAAGGGCCTGATGACATACATCCTTTCCCAGGTCGCCAACGATCACAAGCCTATCATCTATACTCGATCGTCCGAGGGTTGAAGTGCTATATTGTGCGGAAATCTTGTCACACCGAGTGCCTAATCTTTAGGAAATTCCCGTATGGGTCACTCCCTGATGGGTGCGATGGGTACCAACCTCGCACAAATCAGGTAACCTGACAAAAGTGTTGCGATTGAACTGTACTTCGTCTCTTTTGCGCACGTAGTACAGCCACATTAGCCAGCCGAGCCACTTCCGCAACCGAGGCGAAGTGGTTTCGATTCGTTAGAGTGAGCGTAGTCCTAGTTTCTGATTGGAACATCTCTTAGATTCGTTGATTACACCTGTCGGACTGTGGATAGCTTGATACAGGGTCGATTTTNTAGCCAGCCGAGCCACTTCCGCAACCGAGACGAACTGGTTTCGATTCGTTAGAGTGATCGTAGCCCTTGTTTCTGATTGGAACATCCCTTAGATTCGTTGATTACCCCTGTCGGACTGTGGATAGCTTGATACAGGGTCGATTTTCGTGAATTCTATGATTTTCCAGCTACAGCTGAGTAATTTGCGTCCCCAAATCCATAGCCAAAATACGATGCCAACTTGAAGTGGTTGTGATGGAACTCCCGGCAACGCGCTACTTCAAGTGTCAATTTAATCCTCTTGAAACATGGTTGGTTGTGTTGCTATTAATCATAAAGGTTTAGCTTTAGAAAAATTTTTGGAAATCCTGTCTCAAGGTTTTGTTGTGACGCTTCCCGTTTCGTAGGTGACGAAAAGAACCCGTCTGGATGATCTGAGTTATCCTGCTCTTTAGTGCAGTTGGAATGTGATCTGTTTAAGATACATGGTTCGTCGCCAGGTTCTCTTATCACACAGCAATTTGGTTCTGACGGGAGACAACCGAATCCAGTTGAATGTCGTTTATGCTGGATTCAGTCGAGCATCCCATCAGAACCAGATCAGTGTGTAAATGAGAATAGTTGGTGAATTCCCACCGATTTTGGTTCAAGCAGAAAAATAGGTTGACGGAAACTCGGGGAACGCGCCCACCTTGTGAGTCCCTCTAAGGGCGAAACCAGTCGTGGGCTGTCAAAAACCTCCAAGGGGGAAACCAGTCGTGGGCTGTCAAAAAGTTTTCAGCAGCCTTATGACTAGCGTGTTGTGTCTACATTTAAATCTTTCTATATCAGTATCAACGCTTCTCTTTGACCAAATTATACATTTTACTCCACCCTTTGCCCCATAACTAGTGAAGAAACTAATGGACATTTATGCAGCAAACAACCAAGTGACAGAACAGCAAATATTGGATCTGTTGAATGCTGAATTGGAAGGATCACGTGAGTGTGTTCGGGCCAGTGAGAAACATCAAGAAGATCTATTGTCTGAGCTTCAAACCAACTATGAGGCCTACTTTGGCAGGCAAAAGTCTAATAATGAGAGCGGTCTAGCTACTCGACTGACCGCTGCGGTGGACACATTCCTTGCTTTGGACAAGGATGTGAAATCTGGAATGCAGTTCTATGCCGAACTGACCGAACGATGTTTGAAGGTCCAGCAAAAGGTAAGCGTATATGTATATATCATTTAGCGTCATGTGATAAACTATACGGTCTTTTGTTGGCTCTGGAGGCTGACGCTACTCCTAGTCGTTGCTTGAGGTCAAATGTCCTGTACATATCGTGGAGACCAGTGGATCACTGACGTCACGTAGCCACATAAAATCCAACACATAATGATTACTTAGATTCCACTGGTCGGTCAGCTGGAATGCAGCTTTGCTGCTAGCCTTCGAGATTAAGTCTAGCCGCCTTCACTTTTTTGCCTAACCTTTGTGACTGTATGCATTATCCATTGGTTCTCGTCCCCCAACGAAAATTCCCACAATCTTGTTAGTTGTCCTTTCAGTTGGTCGGTTTCCGCAGAACACGTGATTTTCTCTTCGTGTTTAAGTTCGCAATATCCATCCGTGTCTGAAGAGAAATGTTTTGTTTATTTCATTATCCGGGCTTTTGCCACTGAGAGCTTTGGCTGTTGAGCCTTCGGCTTCGAAATGCGCTGCTGCACCGAATGTTCGATCATGAATAGACGTTTTTGGCCAAATGCGGTTTTTTAGCCGCAATAATCATCATATTGAGCTATCTCAACTGATTGTATCGGTCTTGTGGGTGTCCCAAGCTGTTGTAGCAACAGTCACAATATGGCTCATGTTTTGCTGTCATCTCCAACCGTGCGTCAACCTCATGAGGGGTCGGTTGGTTTTGCCGCTGGCGCGCGAGATTCAGATAGAATGTCACGGTCACCGGTCTTCATACAATGGATTGAGTCACGAGACTGTAGTAAATACATTTCCAAACCCTCATCGATTGAGTCTTTTACTTTTTTGTTATGTCTATACTATTTTGAACTGATTCGGATCGGAATAAATCGGGGTAGCTTGACATGGCCTCCCGAAGGAAGTAATGGGATAGCGATATTTAGAACAAGTAGTAGGGCTTCGAGTAGTTGGATTGCAATTACTTCATGTCAAAGTTCTACATTTGCAAGTTGAGAAGCAACGTGGTAAATTGGATTTGTCTACGTACGAGTTCTGAAACGGTTAAGGTCGAACGAAGTGTATCCGCAAACACTAAAAAAATCTATGCCTGTCGTCTCCGACCGTGCGTCAACCTCATGAGGGGTCGGTTACCGTGACCAGTTAACACGTATTTTCACTTTGACCATATCCCCAAATGAGACTAGCTGTCATTCATTGGCTTCGGTAGTGTGTAATCCGAGTTGAACAAACCTTTGGGATGCACTCCAGTTTGCTAACAAAGCGAGACTGGTTATTGCGTAAGGCACAAGCACTATCGTTTGCCATTCGCCAACCCTTTTCCTGTAGCATTCATCCATCCGGGCTCAAACACTTCACTCTACAGTACTTGCGTTGCTTACATTTGAAGTTAGCAGGCACCTCCAAGTCCCGCCAATTGGTAGCCTGTCTACTGTGTTCATTAATCTCCACGGATAAGATGAAAAGTGGATCCAAATTACACCAAATTACACTGCAGTGACCGTTTGTATTCGGTCCCATCACTAGATATGCTCTCGCATCCAACTGAAGAATGACCATGACCGTCATTATATTTATTACTATGTTTACATACATCGGCAATGGCTGAGTTATGACACTCGCTACAGCACCTACCTCTTCGGAGCTCTTTTCCTATCATCAGTATGATGAAGTTGACTTACAAATTCGCGTGCGCATCTTGTACATAAGTATGTGGTTAGATCGCTTCTTAAGCACAGCGACTTGTCGATTTCAGTACGTAGCCCGTCCAATCGTCGAAAAATTCATCAGAGTTATGTCAGTGATTACAAGTTTGATTAGTCGAATGATAGAAATCAGCATGTGTGCACACTCCAACGGTGCGCCGATGATGTTACCCCACCTAGCGATGAAACGTTCACAATCAAACTATCCACCTCATTGAACGGATCACTGGCCGCAACCGGTTCCTTGAACAAATGCTTCGGATTGAGGATGATGTAGTACATATCAGAACTAGCTGTTCTTTTACAGGGTTTTCATGTATATCCTACAAAACTCTTCCACACCAGATGGTTGTCCTTGATTATCGACCGCTATGTGCCGAAGCTGCCTCCACTATAGTTCATTGTCTGGCTGGTTTTTCTTGATCGTCAATCCTTGCTTGCTATCGACCAATTCCAGCTCTGCTCTTCGCAATAGACCTCGCACAGACACCACGTTCGTGGATTAATCAAGTGCCAAAAATTCTGCCTGAATCTTGTGACTCTATCATGCGGGCACTGTTATTACCAACGTCTACAGTTATCAGTGAAATTATGTTCGTATAAAAATGTATATTTTCTTCGCTGGCCTTGGTACCCTTCATCTCCACGTGTGGGTGCCCTGACAGTATTTTAGCTCATATATATGCACATAAAAATACACATGATTTAATGCTACATCAACGATCTCGTGGTAGCAGCAGCTGGGTCGTCTCATTTGCTGGATGCACGTAGGTGGATAAACGTGTGGCTTTCGTTCACGCTTTCCACTTTCCAGTCGGCCGTTTAGGTGATCTTACATCGAGAATGACATTGTAGTACCTTATGGTGTCGTTTGTAGGCCTTTTTACGAAAACTCTCTGGTTATTCATTCAATCAGAAGGAATTTGCAACCTCTCTGGAGGTTTCGAAATAAACTGGTGGATTATTTTTCCAGCAGCAATCAGTCTTCTCCATTTCTGCTGCAAAGTTGGAGGTCATTGAGGTTGATAGAGAAGGCATATCTGTTAGGACGATCTCCTCTGAGTTTGAGGTCAGCGAAACGCCAGGTATAATCACCATAAAAAAGACATGTCACGTGAACCCGATTGAAAGACTATCCGAAGAGCCGAACCGCTGTCAATGCCAATCTAATCAGCTGATTGGTTAGTTGTGGGTCCTCGTCCACCCAGGTATTGGTTGGTATTATCAGAATGGTCATCATTCCTAGCAGTTGGTAGGTGGTTCACGCTGTCGCCCGGTGAAGTACTAGCGCCTGATTTCTAGAAGCCTTATGTTGTTCGCCACTCCAGACCTATGAGCTGGAGTGCATATCACCTGTCGTTCATCGAACAAACATAGATGGACGAACTACAACGACTCGCCGATCCGCTCTGCCTTGCCGGAACCCAATCTCAAAGCAGCATTTTTGGTTTGAATTGTGATATCAGTTCTATTCAGCATTTTTTATCCTGCGTTGTCCCAAGTCTTCCGGTCTGGTCATCATCATGAATGATAGCAACGCGAAAGAAGTACACTGGTGCTTCACTGCTGTCCCACCGTGTCAGACTGTTTGACTGAAGGCCTATAATGGAAAGAGAAAAAATGGGTAGGGGGGAGACCTAGGACTAGCCTACCACAAACATCCCAGGTGCCAAGTATCCCAGCCAAGCATAGGGAGACTCACATGGTCTACAAAGTGAATAGCATCAATAGCGCCCAAATTTTTCTTAAAATCTGTCATTCCCTTCTGTCCTGTCACATTCTCTCTGTGATGGACCGAGCCAGAGATATGTTCATCAGTCGAGGTCAACTATCCATCGCACCAACCAGACCCTGATCATTCTGGAGTCCGGCCGAAGCGGTCTGCTGCATCTCTTAATCCTTATATTTTATTTTTATGACAAACTTATATCCCTCCCATTACAAAAGTATGATTTTTTGCTCTTTTCGACGATTGTTATTCCACAACATCAAGTACTTAAATGCGGATCCCCGATTTTTAAGAAAAGTTTTTGGGTTCCTCTGCGTGATCTCGGCGCCTCCAAACCATTTGGTCCTGGTGATGCACCCCTTAGTCTATTTCCTCATAAATTTCAAGTTCGTCCTACACTAGCATATTGCCCCCTTGTCCCATCTTTTCCCACTACATTCTATCCAGAAGAAATTTTTCACAGCTCATTGCCATACCTTACCCAACCGATAACTTGTAGACATTATGTCACCGTCCGGATATTGCTTCTATTGCGTCGTTTTAGCGCTACTACCACGAGAGATCTTCCTCAGTCTTTTAACCTTATTACCCGCTCATTCACTTCCATGTCAATTTCAATCCAAACATTGAAGAACGGAACCGTTCGCCTCTGCTTCAAAGCAGCCCATCTCTGAAACACGGCCGCTCTCTACCTCACATAACCAACTGTTCCAAGTCAAGTTGATGTGAATCAACTCACTTTCTTATGATGTTTTCCCGTCTGCCATTCTCACAAGGGATCTTCCACCATCGGTTTTTCCTTCTTATGTATGTTGTATGTAACACGATGGATGTGGGCATCCGAGAATGTTTACACCTGACCAACACTAACTTCCTTCGCCCTACTCTTATTTTCACAACTGGGCTCCTGGACCATTACCGCCACTACTGCGCAGCACTCCTTCCTGTTCATTTGTGTAATAAGTATTTGTTGAGAAAGGTTCTTTGTTGAATCGGATGAGCCACTTGACACAAGCACTTTTATCCAGCGTTTTATTCTGGTTTCATTCTCATACCTGGCTTTGTGTTTGTTCATTTACAATAAGATTGATGACTTCTGTCTGGCACGAACAACGGAGAAGACAGAGCATCTGGCCGACCTCACAACTAGTTTAGGACGCGTGAACATCTCCGAAGCCCCGAGTGCTCCACCATCTACTACGACGACCACAGCATCTGGTAAACGCTCCCTTAACGGTTACTTTGTTCTCCTATTTCTGATACAGATAATTATTTTGCACCCTCTTTCTGTGGATTAAATCAAAGTCATTTGAAAGCAGTACTGTTTAACATCTCAGGGATAACTTTTCTTTTTTTCGGCCCAATCGATCTTACATGTACCGGTCGTGGATCACTGACAACTTCGAATTCTATCAGTTCTTACATTCTTGTAAGCTTTTTTGCGCGTCTTTGTTCACTTCATTGTGTTCTGTTCTGGCGATATGTGGAGAACAGTCGAACAGTTCATCATTTCATTTCGTCCAAAATTTTATTGGCTGTTTAAACCAAACCTATCGGCGTCTTACTACACAGGATTATGGACTACATCCGTGCCTGAGACGGGAGGGGAAGGCAGTCACTTCTGATAGTCGAGTAGCTCACCTCGCAGCAGCAGTTTCGCAGGGGTATCCAGCGCAACTTTCATGTGGTTAAGCCAATATGGGGCCTGAATTTGCAACAGATGATGATCAAATTGTGTTTTGCTATTCAAAGGACAGTACTTTTGGTAAACGTGTATGTATCCTGTATGGTGGACCTATGCAGCCAAGGCTTATGGCGTGGCTTGTGTTTTGTATACTGCGCGAACCGTAATGTTACCATATTTGATCAGTTTAGTGCTTGTGTTTCGCACGGTGGTCGATAGTTCGCATTACTTTTGGCCAAATCACGGCGGCGAGTACTCTGTAATTTTTCTCCTAAACTAGTTGATCTTGGTGAAGCAAATGCCAAAATTAAGATACTGAACTGCACTGGCCTGCGCATGATCTCTTAATCAGTCTTCTTCACTTTTGACCGCAACTAATAGGGGGCTGCTCTGTGGACAGGTCATGTCACATTTCTGTATAGGACTGGATCTTGTGCAAAAAAGGGCGCATCACTGCTTCTACCAGCTTCCATGTGGCGGCTTGTCCAGATAGACTTTGTTGTTTTTGTCGGAGGTTATGGATAAGATTAGCTTTCGCTTGATCCTAGAATCTGGAAGTTGCTATCCTTCTTTCTATTCAGTCCTGATGCGGATGCATCCTTAAGTGTCGATCACGAACTAGTTTGCACTGGATATTTTCACAAAGTGGCTACCTCGTTATTTGTCTCCGAATCCTTCTTTTCACCTGGTTCGCACCGGTCCAAATGTATTTGAACCTGTTTTCCCTTATTTAGACATTATTGTTGCTCGCATCAGTTTGCTCACCACGTTTTTCAGGGATTTATCCCTTTTCGATTTTGGTTGATGTCCAATACTCTGTTGTTTACGGCTAAACAGCATGACTGCTTTTCACCTGATCTAGGATAGTCCATGTTCTCTTAGGTTTCCTGATGTATTGGTTCTCAGTTTTCGTTTTTTTTCCTGACACTCAATTTTTCACCGGTTGACAAGTCTGTTCACGTTGGACCGTAATTCGGACTTTTCAAACTGTCCGGCAAGCAGAGTGACCAAGTTGCCATCTTACGGATGTTTGCTTTTGATTTCTCTGGTACAGCGTATTTGTTGACTGCCAATCCGCATAGGCCTACCAAGTTGCTGTGTGCGAGCTTTGACAATTCAAACACATTGATGAAACATCTGTACAGCACTTCTCGTGTTTTCAGCATTAATTGACTTCACACAACCTGCGTGTGTCAGGCGAAATGACGGTCAGTCCATATCTGCTGTCTGTTGTGGTCTCATAATATCAGGAAGGTCAGATCCCTGAAAGCAACTTCAGAACGCCCGGAACCTACTGCTCCACCAAAAACTCAAC